AAAAAAAAAACCAGGAGCTACAAACAAGTCTGTCAAATAGAACCCGTTTTTTCTTTTGACCACCAACTGTGGGAAAATAGCTGTGAACAATTCAAATAGTACAGTCATGTTCATGAACATATCTTACTGTACTGTTTCTTTTTATCTTAGTTCACATGGCAAGGATCAGAGGATGGTCGCATAATGGTGGCTGTGCTTTTGCCCTTCAGCTGTCCTCTTGTTAGCAAGAGAAGACTGGTTAGGTTAGTTCACTCAGCATTTGCTTTTATTTTTTTATTGATTTTTCTCTGCCTACTCTGTCTCCACATTTTGTTTAACTCAAGTGTATTTGATATTTATTAACCTTCTCTGTATTTACGTTTTCAAGCATGCTCCACACTGTGGCAAACAGCCCAGATATTTACTTCTGGATTGCCAAAGACAGCAGCCATGAAGCTTATCATGGCTGTTGTTATTTTTCATATTAACATGAATATTAGGGTGATTTTGTGGATGTTATTATTAGCACAAGAGTGATTGTACTTTTCATTGCAGTCGGAGTGAAATATGGTTTTTCACAAAGCCCTGGCATTGTGGTGTTTGTTCTGGCCCCTTGCCATAGCAGAAACATGCCACAGTGCGTGGAAATCTTTGAGGGTAAGCATGATAATTTTGAAATTTGAAATTTATTTTGTGGTAATGTGAATGACACCTTTCATTTTTAAAAGTGTATCATTTGTTATCAAGGTCGTGACTGAGGTAGATTAATTTGCAAGCTCTTCTCTTTGCTTCACCAGTACTCTGATTATCCATAGATTGTTTATGATACCCCCCCGCAAAAAAAACCAACAAACAAAAAAGGGAAATGTACATGTCCCAAAAACATTTTTTTCTAACTTCCATGTTCAACAAACACAAAATTTCCTCTGAAGGAATCTCTGCAAGGTCTTTAATAATCATCCCTACAACAAGAATAGCTTCGATCTCTTAGTCTTTTTAACACTAACATGTTTTGTACCTTGTACCTTACAAGAAGCAAACTTGGATCATGCGGGCCTTCAAGATTCCATTGGCAGAGCACAGGCTCTATGTTCTGCAATGAGGGATGAATGGTATGGAATGCAAACTTTCAGCTATTTATGAATTCACAATTAAAAAGATTATAAAATCTAAAAAATGACAATGAAAGGTACTGACATGTACCGGTTTTTCTCTCAACAGGAAAAAGTTGGATGACTGGCGGAAACAAAGAAAAAGTCAAGAGCTACAGTACCAGGTACACAAGACCCCCCCAGTTTTGAATTCAATTCGAAAGGATACACTTACAAAATCACATTAATTTAATTTTACTCCCTGTTATATCCATTAGAA